AACTTGGGTGATTATTAAAGCAGTAACATTCATATGGGCAAATGAAGTAGGTTAATAAATGGCTTAAAAGGAATGTCACATACGTTCAATTTTAAAACTACATTTAAAAAATAGAGTAAAAAATATAATGGGAATGATGACTGTCCATCATACTTTTGACTCTCTGCAACTACTCAGTGTGAATTATGTATGCACTTGGTTGCTGAAGTAAAACGATACCACCAAACCTAAGAAGTAACATGAACAAATAGTCTATAGGACTAATGCAAATAATAAAATGAGATGAAAGAAACCCTAACACCAAAATATGCACATCAAAATAATAAATTGTAAAGTAAACCGTTTTTGATTAAATTACAGGTTAGGAGAGGTGGGAGGGTTTACACAGAAACTTAGCTTGGAAAGGGATCCAACGGAGTTAAAATGACTAAATGGGACAGACAGATGAAAATGAACATCTAAAGGAGAGGACAGATGAAGGTTCACGGCCCACTGCAGGAGAGCAACATCGTCATGCACAAAGCAGGCGTGTCCTGAGGCTGGAGTAACAGGGACTTAGCAAATCAAAGTCCTGGGTAGTTCAAACCAACAATCAAGCTCATGCCTGCACAACCTTCCCATCACTTTCAGATTAGGAAAGGAGGAAATTGTGAATGTGGTAGGGTACCTTTAAAAAGCTATTTACATTAAAATATATTCAAAAAGTATTTTCCACGGTAACATGGTTTACAATATTTGAAACAAAAGCACTCTCAAAGACTAAAATCATGTGGCCACATGTTAATCATTTTCCAAATATAAGGTCAAATAAGTCTAGTTATTTATAAATTATTCGAAAGAAAAACATAAACCTATGCCCAGATCTGTCATGTGAGATCACAATTACCAAAGAACAAAGGTGTGTGTGAGACATTTATGTGGGCAGTTCACATGCTGAGGTCAGTATACATTTAATTAAATTGGAAAGAAAAGTAATTTATTACTAGTGTCTACTTATGCAGTACCCATAAATAAGCTCAAGTAAAAAGACAACTGCTTCTGGAGAACAACAGCTAAGGGGAAAAAGGGGCATTTTCAGAAATGAGTCAGTTGAAACTATATTAAGTATGAACTAATTAATTAGGCTTAAACCCTACCATGATCCAGTTATGTGGCATTTTTCTTTTTAGCATTAGGGACTAAGGTCACTGAAAATATAAACAAAGATTTAAACTTTTTTTTTTTTTTTTAAATGATACCGTATTTAGAATAGGGCCTCAAACATGTACCATCTCTGGAAGTGATTTCTATTTCAGAGATCAAACATTTCAACAAGTTCACTAAAATAATGTGCTAATCTGAGACCAGGAGAGGTACACGAATATTTGGGGTTCACAGACAATTAGTGAAATTTTTTGCTTAAAGAGAAAGGACAAAGAATTTAGGACCAGTCTTTTACAATTCTAAATCAAACATAGGCATGGCAGTTATGATTTCTAAAAACAAAACAGCTTAGTGTTGAGTAGGAATCTTCCCTATTGAAACATAGTGAAAAATTCCTAAACAATTTTTACTTAGTTAATCTTTTTCTGCTTATGTAACATTAAGACAAGACTAGCACAGGAACCAAGTAACCAACCACCAAAGGTTGCTGAAACCAGAGAAGTGGAGGCTTCCCCCCACAAAAAAAATAATAGGGAAAGGTGGTTCCTTTCTCATCCTAAATTTTTCATGGGAAATAAGTAAAATGATGAGGGCAGATAGTCATCTTCAGTTCTAGGTAAACTTTTTTTTTAGCCTACATGTTCACACCTATAGACCATACCTGAAGACTGAGATAGCAAACTGGTGGCCTGTTAACATGCTTTGTTCGTTCTGATTAACACTAAAAATATTTTTAAACTATCATTATTTAAATATCAGGAAGTTTCACACAAAAATCCTGATTTGCAGTGTCTCATAGAATCAGAAGACCTGGCAATATCAGGCCTCCATAACAACCGGCCTTATTCCTTATTCTCCTTATTTCCTGTACTCATTCATTCACATTATCCACCCAGAACCTGTAGGCTCTGAATTTTTGGGCCACCCCCAGCACCTACATTACCTATATCCTTTTGTAAACTAGGAGAAACTCAATATAGAACCCCTAAAACTCCCCTGTACTTCTATCAAATATATGAATTAAATACTAACAGGGGTCAGTAAGGATTTCTTTAAAAGATCCACTGGTTTCCTGTTTCGTCTTTTTCATTCTTTCTATCCTCGATCATTATATATCAGTGATGTGTGCTGGTATTACCATTAAATTACTTTCAGCATATAAACAGACATGACAAACTTCCTGATTTATCTTCTAGGATCACTGTTTGGAGTAATTTACTATAAGCTAGCAGATCCATTTGAAACACATACAACCTATTTTACTTGGAAGCTGACTAAATTTTTGTCACCAAAGATACGAACAATGAATCAATATGGACAATCAAGAACCTCTAGAAAAAATAAGAAAGTAAGTGGTTTGTGAGCAGCAGTTACTAGGATCCAAGGTAGATTCATCAAGAATAAGATAAAAAGCTGTCATTTCCTATTTAGATAAATACAGTACATTGGTAGATCAGAAGAGTATGGTAGAGATTATACACTGATTTCAGAAGAGTCCTTCATGAAATCTCTGATGATAAAAAAAAAAAAAAAAAGATAAAATGTGGGCCAGATAATAATACATTTTTTAAGTGAGTGCAAAATTCCCCAAGTATTTTGAACCTGAGTCACTGGGGAAAGAGTTCTCTAGTGGAAGACACAAGGCTTGCTCACTTTAGCACACACTCACCCTCTCTCTCTCCAGTCTCTGAATATTCAATATAATTTCTCATCTGTAACTTGAAAGACAGAGGAGATATGCCTATCACATTTGCAAATAACACAATGCTGAGAGAGCTATATAATGGGACAAATGACAGAAATGATGTTTGAAATGACTGAGCTAGAACAAATGGATCAAAAGGAAGAATATGACATTGATAGGGATACATATGTAATGCTGTAGTTAGATTCAAAGAATCAACTAAAGAAAGATGTCAAATACAGAAGGGGCATCTTGGCTTAATAGCACTTCATGTGAAAAAAAAAATTATTTCAATTGACCCCAAGATTAATGTGTCAGCAGGGGGAAATGGACTCATGCAACAGACAGGTATTGTCCTAACTGTGGGACATGACTTCCAATGTGTTCTGGGCTAGTCAGACCAAATCTGAACACTGTTCTCTATTCTCAGCAGCATATTTTAAAAGGTACCCTGAAAACCTAAGGGGATTTAGATGAGGACAATCATGAGTGATGAGGTCACTAAACCATCTAATTTAAGAAAAGGCTGAAAGAAATGGGGATGTTCTACCTGGAGAAGAGAAATTAGGGGAGACATGATGGTCTTCTTCAAATGTCTGAAGGATTGCTATGCTGAAGAGGGAGTAGAATGGTCGTATGTTGTTCTAAAGGGCAGAACTAAAACTAGAGGAGAGAAAGTCATAGGGAAAATATTTTAGTTAAAAAAAAAAAAAGCAAAAGTAAAAACTCTAATGAGGAAAGTTATCAGCAGATAAACATCACTCTCTCAGGAAGGCCACAGAAGGCCAGATGGAGTTCCAGAATCTGTTCCAACTCTTAAGATTCCCAACACCAGAGCTCGAGTATTGTTTGGTTTGAACTAGCCTTACATCCGCTCAGTCAGTGGTCATGAGCGAATGTCTGGGGTTTATTACTTTACAGGACTCCACTCAAAGCACAGCAGAACTCTACCACCAAATGTGTGTGGTGATCCCTTCAAATCCCTGAGACACTGCACTCTTACTCCACAGAACTGCTATGCTTAAAACATCTATGAAACCCTTTTAGAATGCCTCAAAGTCAGTTTTGGACTGACATAAGATACTATCTTATTATCTCATAAACATGTCTATGTGCTATTGGTGGACACAAACTATCTTATTCATTTGGTAGTTGGTGTCTAGCTAGTCAGTGAGTATCCAATGGAGAACCAAAATAACCCATCTCTAACCCAAATTTATTACTCAGCCTGAGGTTTCAACTTAATTAAATCCAGCTCCCAATGACATCTGAATGATTTCAAAAACCTAATTTATCTTTAGACACATAAAAATTTGATGTCAGATACAAATTAGTATTACATAGGCCCTTAAATGCTCAAAAAATGTAAAATCAATTTGAACAAAGGTAGTATAACTAGAAGGATATAACTTTCTAAGTTCCTTACTTTGAAGGAATATATACATACTGTCTTTTTTGTTTTTATTTCTTTTAAAAAAGCTCATTACTTTATAGGCATACTTCATGCGTTGGGCTCAGTTATAAAGATCTTAAAAGCTAGTGGAGTTATTACTACCGATCTTTTCATTTCCACATTCCTTTGAGTCCTTAAAATTGGTTATTATCCTCATTTCCAGAAAACATGTTCTTTCAAATAAACATTTTAGGTGCTTAAAAGTAAAATTAGATTATGATTATAAATGGTTTCAAGAACAGAGAATTTCTTTTCAAACCCAAAATACTAGTACATATTAGTAAACATACTAAAACATTAGTATGGTTTTAGTAAGATGTATTATCTGAACGTAAGCTGAGTAAAATGTAATAATGTATTTTATTTGGGATCAAAGTGTCTTTTCCTTGCACAAATGTCCTAATTTATTTCTACAACTCATAGCTAAAATCTTCCTATATGTATTATCTAAAGAAAATATACTTTAACTTCCTTAATGAAAAAGTATCAAAAATCTCATTTATAGACCCTAAACATATCTATTAATTTCAGATATTACTAAGGATGATTTCAAAACTAAACATGGTCAATTGTCATCACAGTGAGAATTTTAGTGGAACTTAGTTGGGAATCAGTCAGCTTGGCGTCTTTGTAGTGAGTATCTATGTAATAAATAGTTATCCACTCTTTTCTTTTGTATTTTAACGGAATGCCTGGTACCCAGTAAAGAAAGTTAAGAACCTGTTAAGAACTGCGGTGAAGATTTTGTTCTTTACAGATTGCAGCAAGTCTGAGTTGAGGAAGTTCTGACAGATGCAAAATGTACACCTGTTGCAGGTGCACATACAGCGTAACCGGGCATGGCTGCGAAAACACACAGAAGGACAGGAGTTGAGTTCTTACTTATGAATATGGCACAAGTTAGGGTGTGCCAACTTAAAAAAAAAAAAGATTTAGGCATAAGCAACACTTTTTGTAAAAAGGAAAACGATAGTGTGGGGCATGCTGAAGCTGTGCATAATTCCACATTTATCAAAAATGTAATAAATAGTAGTAACTCCCTCCTCCCTCCCTAGGTAAAATCAGCTAACACTTCTTTTTTGGAGAAGGGGAGGGTATTATTACTGTACGATTTTGGTGGAATAAATACGTACAGCTATAGATGGCACCCTCATCTAAATCACTTTTTAAAAAATGACTGAGCCATAGCACCCCACCAAAAGGACAGTTTGCTAACATTTAAATAACCACTCCCTCCTCCTCTCCTCCTCCCTGAGCATACACACATGCCTGAAAACCAGGAAGGAGAAGAGAGACAAATGCACAAGAGTCAAAAGGTGAGTATATTCAACTCTGAAGAGATGTGAACATCGTCTTTAATTTATCAAGCACCCTGTCTCCCAAAGGAAAGCAAAGTGCTTCATAAGTTTCTACTTGAATGAACTATAGGATTAATTTCATCTGCTATCAAAACACAGCAGCTAAGTATGATAGTATGAAACTCTGAGTAAAGATGTAAAAATCAACAATGGATCCAATTGAAATTAGGTGTGAAATTTAGGGAGGCTTTCTGACTCCTTTCTGGTTGAGTGGAGTTGTACCAGCTGGTGCAGGTACATGGGGCAACCCATTTCACCTAGGCCCTAACAACCAAAGCAGGGGGCTTCAGTGACTGCTCAGTGGTCAGAGCCACTCAGATATACAAGGCACCCATGAAGAGGTACTGGCGCAGAACCCACTCAGAAAAGCGCCACCTGAGGAATCAATGCCATTACTTCCTGTAACACCTGAACATTTTTAGAGGCGTCTCAGTCAAAGGACTGGCTCACTCTGACTTGGCTTAGTTTGTGAGATCTGATGAGGCCACAGCACATGGGCGGCATGATTGTGGAGATTAGCAGCTTCCCAATAATGCCTAATTCCCAATATGAAGAAAAACAAGAATTAATTTTTTCTTAAAACTTTGACAGGCTCAAGATATTCCTTTTTAAAACTTGATTCGTAATGATGAGTGTATTGCTATTATGAAGTAAGTCACTGCCAGCTGTCATACTGGAATCCTTCATTATTTTATAAATTGAATCTGACTCTTCAACATACACAAGGCTCCACCCACCAAAAAGGAGGGATGCAAAGTATGCTTAGCAACAGGGAGATGCTTCATGAGAAGTCGTTTGGGATTAATCATATAAACAAGTGTCCATGTATGTACATTTATCATATACACACACACACACACAAACAAGAGTTACAGTAAAATATCATAAAGCTGCAGATCTATATATGAACATAGTTGCAGTTATTTACAAGATTAAAATAGGACATTTACATAGTAACAAAGACACCATAATATACAGTTAAGCAGTAAGCCTGACCAAGCAGTGCGTTTCCGGATAATTAGGTAGTCACTAATTATGCCACAAAAGGAGCTCTCATAATTCTATTAAGAAAATGTCAACAAAATCCCACAGAAGCCATAAAGAAAAAGTAACTTACAAAGCAGTTTTTAGAAAGACCCAGATTTTTCTCAAATTCTCTATTCTATCAGTGTTGCCCGTGTCTCGGGAGAGTCTGTCTCTGTAATGATCCTCTCTGCAGATAACACACACGAGAGTTTTAAAGCAACAGTAAAGCACAAATAAGGTTTTGCTTATCTTATAGTAATAGGAACGACTTGTCTTCCAATTATTATACAAACAGAATTTCAAGGGTTTGCTGCATTTAAAGAAAGTATTAGTTAATAAAATAGTGGTAAAATTAACTGATTTTAAAATCTCCACAAATAACACCTTTTTGAAACAACCTGTCTTGGTTTATAGCAATATTTGCTTATTATTCTATTTTATACTGAAGTTTTCATAAGAAGGAAAATAATTTAGAAACTATCATAATAATAAATAATAAACTATGAAGTCCTGAGAAACGCACTGCCTGAGAAATTATCTTGTTACAAAACAAAATTTACACAAACACACTACTTTAGGAGAATGCCATTAAGAGCCATGCAATTTTAAGGCAGTTAGTAAACTATGGAGATGACCACAATTATGTGCTTGTGCATATGCATGTATAGATATATAATAAATGTACATGAAATTTGTGGTTCATAACACTTAACGTAAAGCATTCATATAGCAGGAATTCCAATTACTACCAGTTTTTATGGCACTTAAAAAGATATTCTAAACTCAAACACAAACATAATTTAAACATAAATTCATAAAAGATTTTAGACTCCTCCACATATCCAAGGTCAATTAATCAACAGAAAAAAATAAAAATGATTTTTTTGTTCATATCTAAATGCCTTATCAGAATAAAACAATATGATGCCAACCCCATTTTATTGCAGTAAGATTTTTTTTTTTTTTTTGGCTGAGAAGGAGGGGTGCATTACATTGTACTGGACTATAAGATAATTACAGCCTGCTCAGTAATGTACAAATATTGTTAGAAGCACTGTTTACATCATTTCAACACCCAAACCAAACTAAATTTACTCAAAGTTGTACCTTCTCATTACAAAGTCTCTTTCTGTTGCTGAACAACTTCTATGTGACAAAGATTCCACCCTCATGGCTAAGAATGGCATGCAATGTTGTTATGAACCATGCAACATGAAAATGAAGACAGGGCAAGTACTTACGGATACATGGCCATTGTTGTCAACTTAACAAAGATATCCTTACTGGGTGCATCAGCAGTATTGCACGTGAAGGCTTGTGGTGGGGGCATTTTGTGTTTCCTGCAGAAATCAGTAGGTGAAATACTATACTCTTGTTTAACTTCATGCAGGTCTGACTTTGCAGCTACAATTAAGCAGGGTATTCTGCTGTCCATAAAGTGTTGCTGTGTAATAAAAAAATGAAATAAAAATCTCATAGCAAGCTAAAAAAAAAATAATTAAATATTATTGGGCAAAGCATCAACAATATTAAAGAGAGAAAGTGAACCAAGAGACAAAATTGGCAGTGGCCTAGTTCAGTCTCATATACTCAGTATGATCAGGACCATTTTCCTAATGACGATAATAGGACAAATCTGGACTGATTCTTCAGATGAACTACAATCTGAAAACCACGCATTTTTTATTAAAAAGATATCCACCTAAATTCCTCTATTGCAAGGAAGACTATTCAAATTTTTTCATATTACCTCTAACAACTAGTCCTTGAGCACATACATTTATATGTTTATATAGTCACAGTCAGGCTGAACATAAACATTTTAAAATGTATTACTGTTCCTCATAAAATTAATATTTTTAATGGATGCTTAATATGGCACGGAATTATTTTATCTTAATTTTGTTTTAAAATGCTAGAATCAATATGACTGCACACACAGCCTTCACTCCTATTGCACCCTTCTTGTCAATAATCTCAAAGGGACTGGTTTATCCTCTTGCTCAGGCTGTTATTCTAGGTACAACCGGCAATAAATAGCCCATGTGCATTCCTAACAGGCAGGAAGACCTCCACTGACGCAGAGGGTCTTAATCAGGAACGCACATCAGAATCCCACACGGAATTATTATTATTTTTTTAAATAGAGACATCTGGGACTCTGCCCCTTCAAAACCGAATCAGAAACATTAAGCTAGGGTACAGACATACATAGTTTTAAAAAGCTCCAAAACTGACTTTGTTGCATTTCCCTGGTTAGGAAACATCACATTACAATGCCACTAAACTCCATGTAAGGTTATATTTAGTACAAGACCATAAAAGAAACAAACCTTAAAAATCCTGGCACAGTACTCAAAGGACTTGGGATTACTGACATCATATACCAGGCACACCACATCACAAATGATCTCAGCCTCAGTTAGAAATTCCGACTCTGAGATATCATGCAACTTGTAAAAGGAAAAAGATAATGAGAAATATAAGTAGCACAACACTGATGTCTAAAGTTAGGTTGTCTTATTACCTGCTTATTTTGACCTGCTTAGAAAAGGATGCTAATTAAACGTACTTGTGCAGACCATTTTTTAAAGTAGGAAGTACAGATAAACAAGGAGCTTCTGACTTTGTGGTTTAAAAAAATAGTGATTAAGGTTCCAAAGAACATTTAGTGAGTGACTCATGTGGGTCCTTTACATACATTATGCACATTTTACAGATAAGGAAACAGACTCAGTGAGATTAAGTCAATTGCCCAAGATAACACATCTAACAATTCACTGCACCAGACTTTGAACTCAGATATCAGTCCCAGGTCTGTTTTCTTGCCTCCATATTATATTTTTTCCCAGTGATGAAAAACACAAATAGCTCTTTACCTTGAAGGTCATTTTGTTCTACATCACTGCTTACTCTTTTTGATGTTTATTACAAAACCACTTTAAGAAATATTCCATCTATGATATGATAATGCTCCAACAAGAATAAAATTCAGTACGGAATTCTCTAAGATAGTGCATCTTTGGTGAGAAGAAATGGGAAATGATGTAGGGTCAGAAATGACTCAATGTATTCCAAATAAAACACTGCTGTTAAACCAAAAAAAAAACCCAAACTCACTACCGTCGAGTCAGATCTGACTTGTAGTGACCCCCTCCTTGGGTTTCCAAGGCAGTATCACTATGGAAGTAGATTGCCCAGTCTTCCTTCCAAGGAGTGGCTGGTGGGTTTGAACCACCAGCCTTCTGGTTAACAGTCAAATGCCTTAGGCACTATGCCACCAGAGCTCCCAAAATACTGTTATAGCATATATATTCACAGACATGAAAGATACCAGTTTGTAAAGAATAGGCTAAGGATAAGAAAACTGAAAAATTAAGTCAATATTTACTGAGTACTCAATGTGTAGAATTACACCTACAGGAGAAGAACAGGAGACAAATAAGGTTTAATAAGAAACCAACAAGGACCATTCATCATAAAGAATACATATAAAATTCAATGTGATCATCTGACTGACAGATTAAACAATTTCTAAAAGACAAGGAAAAGTAGTGGACTTTTTTCTAGTACCTACAATTTGCCAGAAGCTTCTCACACTCGCTGACTTAAGAAGATATTCAGGCTCAGAGAGAGCAAGTCACTTTCTCAAGGTCACACAGGGGACCAGCGTTCAAACAGAAATCTGATTGGATCCAAGGAGAATATGTAAACTCTTTCTCCTGTATTTCATGTATCTTTTCAATCACTCTCTTTTTTCATTCATTTTTTAGACTAACACATGAGTTATCTATACATCCCACCCATCTCCAGACAAATAGATAAAACTCTGTTCAGATAACAGATAAACTACCAAGCACTTGCACTAATCTTTTCATATTAATTTGTAGTTAACAGTGGAGAAAATAATTTTTTTTTAAATAGAGATGGAGGAAACAGTAAAAAGGGAGTTAATTTTTTTAAAACTTTTCTTACTGAGGTATAACTTACATACAGTAAAGTTAACAAACTGACAAATTTTACATATATATATATATATATATA